TCCCCAAATAACCTTTACTTTCTGCTAAAGTCTTCATCAGCCCCCCAATGCTTCTACGTGATGGAAACTGCATTGTGTGGAAGGCTCTCTCAGATACCTTGGCAGCCTCTTCTTCCATCGCTCATGTTAAATCCCCCTGCTCAGTCTAAAGTAATCCCTTACCTTTCCTGAAATCCACTGACATTTTCCTCACTCCAAAGCTTTGCCATAACATTCTTATTTCTTTTCCTATTTTCCCTATTGCATTGACATATTTGTCATTATTTAGCCAGGCCACTAGACCATGAATTAGCCTGTTCCACCCTAATTGGCCAGGTTTCTTTCTCTCTTTTCTGAACACCCACACACACACACACTACATTGGTTGAGGCATTTCCATAACATTTATCACATAAAACCTCCCTGGTAGAATTTATTAAAGTAAATTCCCTGACCCAATTTCTGCATGGGGAAGCGGGTGGAGGTGTTACATTAACAACAACAAATAATTCTCAGCACTCTGACACTATTTACCCGAGATAGCATGGTATCACACAGGTTAAGAATTTAGTCCTACAAGAACGCCTCCCCCTCCCCCCCCATACTAACAATTTTTGCACACCAGCAGGGTGTCCAAGAAGTCACTTCCATTCTGACACTATCTACCTAGAGACAAAGATAGCATCGAAATCCACCGGTTCGGGATTCAGTCCTACAAGACTGACCTTCCCTCCAAACACAAACACTTCAGATGACAGCAGCAAGCCCGGGCTTCTGTGCTTCTGACCAACAGATTGGAGGTTCCAACAAACCCCTCCACTTGAGAGTGCCAACTGCAGGTTGTTACCCGTGCTTCTAATCAACTGGACATAGGTCAGGGGTTCCCACAACTCCGTCTGTGGGTTCTATTCATTTGCTAGATCGTGTCACAGAACTTAGAGAAACCTGTTAGTTATTGGATCACTGGTTGATTATAAGAGGATATAACTCAGGAACAGCCAGAAGAAAGAGATGCATAAAGTATAGGGCAGAGGGGGTAGAGCTTCCATGCCCTCTCCACTGTACCACTCTCCTGGCACCAATACGCATTCACCAAACCTGAACCTTCCCGAATCCAATCCTCTTGAGTTTTTATGTTGGCTTCAATGCAGTTCTGATTGATTAAATAATTGCCATTGGTAATTAATTTAACCTCTAACGTCTCTTTCCTGGAGGTCCAGGTGGGACTTAAAATTCTAACCCTCTAATCACATGGTTGGTTCCATTGGCAACCAGCCCCATTCCTTTGTGAAGTCCAAAAGTCACCTCATTTAACATAACAAAAAACAACTTTTGTAGGCCTGGCGGGCATGGCTCAGTGGTTGAGTGTTGATCTATGAACCAGGAGGTCATGGTTTGATTCCCAGTCAGGGCACATGCCCTGGTGGTAGGCTCAATTCCCAGTGTGGGGCATGCAGGAAGCAACTGATCAATGATTCTCTCTCATCATTGATGTTTCTCTCTCTCTCTCTCTCTCTCTCTCTCTCTCTCTGAAATTATATTTAAAATATTTTTTTAAGAAAACAACTTTTTCAGTCTCAACGCTTAGAAAATTCCAAGAGTTCCTGAGAGTTGGGAGCCAGGAATTGTGGACAAAAACCAAATATAGATAAGAAATATATTTAGATGGTCTGGATGACTCAATATACATTTCTTAAAAACCACAATTTCTTATATATCACAATTAGAGATTCCTGAATGCAAGTATTGGCCCTTCCTTACTGTGCTTCTGAATACTAGATGATCTCCAATTTATTAAAAGCCTTTGATGTGATCACTGTATAGTTCCTGAGACAGGGGTGAAAGCTGTGTTAACTATTTTCTGCCAAAACCATAGACCAATTCTCTATTATTATTACTTTTTAGCCTAAATTTATCATTTTTGAGTTGGAAAGCTCTACAGAGATGATTTTAGTTCTAAACTCTTTCTTAACCCATGTGAAAATGAAACCCTGCAGGATAGGGTGGCTGGGCTTAGAACTCATAGCTGGCTTTTGGTAGATTAAGTATGAAGACTCAGGTCTACGTACTGTTGACAGCAGAAGGAACTTGGTTCCTAAAGCAACCTCCCAAAATACCTCATTCAGTGTCCTCCATGTAGAAGAATCCTTTGCTTGCTGACTGCAGTAAAAAGAATGCAGTGTGGTAGAGTAAAAGAGGTAAGTACAGGTTTGGAATCAAACAAGTTGTATTTAGATTCTGGCCTGGTCACTTAATGAGCTGCTCAGATTTTGGTTAATTAACTTCTCGGCTTCTTTCCTCATCTGTGAACTGTGGGCAATTATTTCCAGTTCGTGAAGTTGTGTTGGTGAAAAGGTAAAATGTATATGAAGTGATTAAAACCACAACAATTTGAGGTCATTAATATAAAATAATCCTTAGTAAGTTACAAATTTGTATATTTAATGCTTCTTAATAATGCATACATTTTCATCTTAGAAGCTTTATCTGAATTGAGTAAATGAAGAGTGTATTTCTCATTTTTCTTTTGCCCTCAGAATGTTGAAATTTTGGGGGTGGCCATAAGTGTTACTAAGAGTCCACCCAGTTATTTCTCGTAAAACTTCCTTTTTTTCAATGTATTATCAAGAACCATGTGTTTTGGAAAGTGAATGCTTAGAGCATTCAGTGTTGCTGGGTGACAGAGATAATTTTTTTGACACTTTGCAAAGCTCATTGTTTTTCCTTTTCTGGGTTAATAAAAAACAGCTATTTCATTCACTTAATAAATACATATCTCTAAAGTTAAGTCTTCTGACAGCTCCATGACTGATCTTGACCTTCAGCTCCTTGTCATGATGCATCCTTGCCTTTCACACCAATTCTATGAGCTCGAACAGAAACAAAGACTACCTGCCCATAATGGCCTGGCCAAAGGGTCTGGTAGGCAAGGTCCTGGGAGGCTCTTAGGGAGAATAAATGAAGCCCTGGTATCACTTCTAAAACAAAGCTGGGCCCTGATAAACTTAGTGTTTTTATATCAAACTAGAGGCCCAGTGCACGAAATTTGTGCACGAGTAGGGTCCCTAGCAGCTGCTGGATGCCAGCCAGGGTCTCCCTTCCCGCCGTTGGCCGGTTGGCCCCACTCCCTGGTCAAACTCCCAGTCGAGGAGACAATTTGCATATTAGGCTTTTATTATATAGGATATGAAAGTAAAAGTAAGGTAGTTTAATATAAAATGTGAGAGTCACACTAGATGATTTTAAAAGCCAACTTTTATACGCTAGCATGTTTAATACTGACAGGCTTTTCTGAACGATTATAGGCGTTCCTTTCCTGGAATCCCTAACGGATCAGTTCCAGCACTGGGTGACCCAGGGTCTGTTCAGAGTAAGTAAGCATGCGTCAGAGAAACACGCTCCTGTTGGAAAGTGCTGTTTTCCTCTTCATAAAGCTCGTACTAACCCACCAAGAACTACCAAGAAGCATCTCAGAAAGAATATCATGACGGGATGCATGGCCCAGGGACTAAGGCATAATTCCAAGCCTGGGAGTTTACGTACCCAGGTAAGGTGTTTGAGGCACACACGGGAAAGCTAGGCTAGGACTCTGCTAACCAGACTCAGGTAAATTACTAAAGGGAAACAAGCTCTTGAGGTTACTGTCCATGAATGTGAGCATCTGGCCTTTCCACTGACATCCTTTAGTGCTTGACAGGCACAGTGCTGGGCTGAGTGGCTCTGTACTGTGGCCAGTACCACCTAAATCAGTGTTCTCCACCCGGCTGCACAGTGGAATTACTTACCAGAACCACTTTAATTAGTCCTGATGCCCCAGCCATTCTCATGTAATCCAGCTGAGGTGTAGCTGGAACATCGGGATTTTTTTTTTTTTTTTAAAAAAGCTTCTCCTGTGATTCATTCCAGTGTGTGGCCAGCCACCCAAACCACCGACATAGACTTAAGACCTTCTGGCAAACCTTCCTTTTAAAATCCTCCGCCCTATCCTGTCGCTTCCTGGCGCTTGGTTTCCGCCCCACCTCTGGTGAATTTCTCCCAGCAGTCAGACTAGACTAGTCCCAAAGTGGAATTCACCAGCCCGGGTGCTCCTGGGAAATAAGGAGAGCGCTGGCAGGAAAGCGGTTCCGCCCAAACCTGGTCTGAGCAACAGTCCCTCTCCGCTGTGTTGCTCTACCTGCTTCTTACTTCCTTTCACACGTGCTGTTCTCCAATTGCCAAGCGCCCTGGAAGACTACGCACCGCGCCCTGGTCTCTCCTGCGCTGTTGTTGGCATCTGACAGGCAGGCCCCCTAGTAGCAGGAACGGGGGTGGGGAGGGGGACCTCCTTCTCAGCTCCAAGCCTCGGAATCAGCACCGCGCGCGCCTGCCGCTCAGCTTTGCAGCACCAGGGCGCCTACGGTCCTCTGATCAGGTTCCTGGGGCGCCAAGCCTGGCCGCTTAAAACACTCCCCTCTCCTCTGTTCCCCCCAATATTTTTGTTTACCTAGAAAGCAGATCTTTACTTTTCCGGATGGCAGCTCGTCGCAGGCCCCACCCGAGCAAAGGGGAAAAGTCCCAGCGCCCGGCTCCAGAGACCTGGTCTCCTGGCCCAGGCCCCCTGGTCCACAGTTAAGGGTCCCCAAGGGGCCAGTGACGCTGGCGCCCCCGCCCTGGCTCCGCCCAGCACCTGCCCCGGGCAAAGCCCCGTCTCCAGCCGCTCTGTGCCCCACCCTTTGGTGATTCAGAGCCCTGGAGCCACCCAGGGCGCTAATTTAAATTGATTTGCAGGACGACTGCACTTGGTTACTACCGACAGCTGGACGCGGGAGCCGCTGGATCTCTTTGTGGAGGCTGCCGAGTGCGGCGCTGGGTCCCCGTCGCCGCGCCATGAGTCCCGCCCCGAGGGGCGCCCCCGCA